ACGCCCCGGGTGCAGAGCAACTCGGTCCCCAAACACCCTGCAAACCCTGCTGGGGTGAGGGGACAGGGCTGTGCGCTTGCAGCTCTCGGTTTCTCCTTCTGCGGTCTGTTTTTTTTGCCTTTTTTATTTTTTTGCCTGTATTGTTGAGCAGATTTCCCCCCGCCCTTGCACAAGCCCCAGCCACCCCCTTGGCCGGCCACGAACAGGTTAAGTTTCCTGTTGCTCAAAACAGGATTTCCTGGTGTCGAAAGGCTGAATTCGCAGAAGCGCCCGGCTGGGAGGATGGCTTTTCTGAAACGCTTCCGCCCGCACTCCCATGCCGGCTCCTGCAAGCCGGGTTCCTCCATGGGGCAGCCAGAAGGAGAGGCGATGCCCCCACGTCCCCGCTCACCGAGAGGGTCCCCGGCGACGATGCTGTACTCCACTTGCCCGCTGGGTCCTGAGTCGCCGTCATGGGCCAGGAAAGTCCAGACGCGCGGGCCGGGCTGCCCTTCCGTGACGTCAAAGGGACCCTCGTAGGGCCGAGGGAAGGTGGGACGGTTGTCGTTGATGTCATTGAGGTTCACCAGCACCTGCGGTCAGGGCGAGAGGGTGGAGGGCGGTGAGAGGAGAGGGATGGAAGGGGAGACCAGCCCGCTGGCCATGAGCGTGGGAAGCCACGGACAAGCGACATCTCAAAATACCTCCCATATTTCTGGCTTCGCTGCGTTCACCAAACATCCAGCTCACAGTTCAGAGACTCAAACTCAGTTATTCCTGATCGTGCCCATCCTACAGTGACACTACGGAACTCCAGCCACACACAGGTGGGGCCCTTTTCAACCTCGGAGCCACGCACCATGATGGAGAAGTCAACGCAAAAGCCAAACATTTTCCACATTCACATCCTGAAACCCAAGCTGGATAGACAAAACCCACAGACATGGATGTGACCATCAAAGCCACGAGTTCGGAGAGGCCCGATCTCTGCACCCAGCTGCACACTTGCTTACCAAGGGCTTCATTCCTAATGCTGAGTAAACTTGAAGAAATTTGCAGCTGGCGTCCTTATTCCAACTCAAACCACCACCACCGCCGCTGGCATGTTTCCCTTCCTAGCATCCCTTCCTATGACACACTTAGCTGGCTAGAAATCAATCCTATAGACCTCAAAAGGGGAAAGCATCCACAGTTTTAGGACGGAGTAGACCACGGGGCTGCCAGCGAAGCTGGGGATCCAACTCGAGTCTTGCTTTTTAACTGAGTCACACTACATAGAAGACATTTATATAGCTCGATACTATACTATATTGAAAAGAGGGTTATCCCCTCGCTAGGCTTCGGGGAACGTGCAGAGAGGAGAAGCCCTGCTGGAGGAGGAGAGTCTCCAGTGGCTAGTAAGAGGTTAAGCTTTGGTGGTACAGGTGGTTACAAGATACTGAAAATGGGGAGCTTTCCGACCTCCTGGGTTAAAGGATAGTAAAATCCATCAGACGGGCATTTGTTACTGGCTAAATCTAACCTTTACAGAAGAGTATCTCTGCTCCGTTTCCTAGCAGTGGAGAAAACAAACACTGGCAGGCCTTATCGGGGTGATGGATTTCCCATCACTTGGGATCTTAAATAATCACTAAACCTCCTCCTAAAAGCTATGTTTTCATACGGTGCTGGCACAAACTCCCTGGGCTCTGTAGGGAGGGTGTTTCCTACCCCTTCCAGCTTCGGTACTTGTTGCTGGAGGGGCTTCCAAGTTCACGTCTCTGCTTGGGCCGAGAGCAGGGAAAGCTGTCGCCTTCCCAAAGTCTCGAGGTTTCTGCTGCAGTTTTCCTGGGCCAGGAAGGCATCATCATCAGTATCAGATGCACACATCTGAAAGCTTCCCATCTGCCCCAGCATGGAGCACAGTGCTGCCAGGCTCGCAGGGACAGATTTCATCCATGGAAATCTCCCACACTGGTGTTTCCCCTTCGGTTTCTCTTTTTTCTTCACACATAAAAACCTATCTCCTTTCGGAGGACTCATAAACACTTGGCTCGATATCTGCGTGAGGCACAATGGTCCACGATAGGGAGCCAAGGAAGAAGATCTAACTGACCCCTTCCACTTGCAGACCCTAAAATCATTCTGGGCATGGACAACGTCTGCCGTACAACCCATCAAATTTTGGTTTCGGTCACAAAAATAATCAGTGTATTCAATTCCTGCAAAACACTTGCTTTGGACCTGCTAGTCTGCCCTCCCCACACTTTGAGCAGCGCACTAAGTTCAGGTCACTGCGGTCCAAGAGAAATGGAAGAGCTATAGAGAGAAGCAACAAAAATGACTAGAGGCTTTAAATAACCTCCATACAAGGAATGGAAAAGGAATTTAAAAAGCAGATAAATAATCTGAGAAGATAAAATGAAGCAGAAATTAATGCTCTAGCAATGCTTTACTATCTACTGTCCCTTCAGGCAAGAAGAACCAAGGGGACCTCTATAATGCAACTTAAAAGCAATTCAGGGAATTTCTTCTGTTTGTGTCTTTGCAGGACCAAATAATTGGGCTAATTAACCCATCAGCGTCCCTTGTCCAAGTCCCTGTTTCGCAACCCCCATGAAAGAGCAGGGTGACAGCAACTGGGCAAACTGGCCGCAGCTGGGAAAAGCGATTGCTGACCACTGGGAAGGAGATGTGAAACTGTTTGCACGAGCGGGAATTCCTCGACCCCAAAGAGGTCGTGGTGTCGCAACCCTGCCGGCAGCTCCCTACCGTGGCAGTTGATGTCAGCCGGCGCGAGGTGATGGGGCACTGGTCGGTGGCGGTGACGATCAAGGTGTAGCGCCCGTGGCTGATCTCGTAGTCCAGCTCCTTCACCGTGCGGATCTGCCCCTGCAAGGCGAGGGGACAGTGGCCAGGAGTGAGGGGAGCAGGACGGGGGCATAGCCGGGATGGGGCCGGCATCTTTACTGACCGTGGCGCTGTTGATGTGGAAGGTACCCAAGATGTTGCCTTCGGTGATGGCGTATGCAACCGTGCCGTTGGGTCCCTCGTCCCGGTCCAGGGCCTGCACGGTGACGAGGGTGGCATTGAGCGTGGCGGGACCTTCGTCGAGGGTCACCTCGTACAGCTGCTGCCGGAAAGCGGGAGCGTTGTCATTCTCGTCCAGGACGGTGACATACACTGTGGTGGTGGCCTGCGGGACATGGGGACATCGCGTTAAGCACCATGGAGGGATTGGCTCCGCAACCCCTGGAGCTGGCTGGGGAAGGCTGGACCTGTCAAGGTCAATGACTAATGTGGGCTCAACCCTGCCAAGAGACACAAAATGAAATGAGCCATGGCTGCAGACGCATCTCCAGGTAACGGGTAACGGTTGGGTACAGAGATAAACGTTCAGAGATTAAATCACACTCTTGCTCCCAAGCAAAGCATGTCTCTGTGGGATCCCTCTCCTTTTCACCCCGTTTTTTTTTTTACCACCGCTGGTCACACCGGGGAGCAGCCCACAGCAGAGGGAAAGCCAGAGGTTGAACCCCATCATGCCTCGCTGCCTTTGGAGGAGGCCTCTGTGAGTCCTCACCTTCTGGGGACACTTTGGTTGTTATTATCGAGGGTGGCAACGCGGTAGGATGGAAAGTACCTGCAGATGATGCTGCCATGGCTCAGGAGAAGAACAAAAATGAACATCTCAGATACCCAGCCTCTCCTCCTTCAGGTCCCATCATCTACCTGCTAACCCCAATTTCACCACCGGTCAGGCTCAGCCTGTCCTGACCCTCTTCCAGCTGTATCTGACCCTGCCCAGGCACTTGGATGTCCTTACTGAAGGCTGTCTTCTGGTTGTGTCACCATGGGGGCAAACCTGGGGACGGGGAGGTGACAAGAGTATGCCACCCTGACAAAGGGCTCAGCTCAGAGATGGGGTGTCCGGACAGACAAGCCATTTTCTTGGAGTCTCTGGACTTTGTGCCTACACCTTCCCGCAGTGACAAATTTCTTCCTACCAGACAAGGGTTACATTTTTTGGTGAGAGCATCACAGAGGTGTTTGCTGTAAAAACCACAAAGCCGCACGGTAATGAGCTACTTTTCTGTTTCACTGCATGCTCCAAATTCAGAGCAGGTTAGCAGCAAGGTTTCCTGTGGTTTGCAAACTTCCACGTGTCTCCGGGCTCCACTTTCCAGGGAACAGTTTGAAACGAGGTGGCCGGAGATTTCGTCGGTACCTTTTGAATTCGAAGTGAAGCTCCAGGAGGAGTTACGTGAGTTGGCCCGTGGGGCTGCTTTGCTATTTGAGGGCAAAGTAAGGCCCCTCTCCGTGCAAACAGGCTGCAGGAGGGGGATGCTTTGCTCCCCTTTTTTTTGAGGAAAGCTCCATTCCCTTCCCTGAGCTGGCACCGCTTTGAGTTACCCTTCCCTGTACCTGTTCATCCCAGGAGGGTTTCTGCCCACTTAATCCTCACAAACACGGGAAAAATAATAATTACAAGGGAAGTGCACTTTAATCAAGCAAGCTGGAGTTGGTCCCAGGGGATCAGCTCCCACCGGGGAAGGGATGGGCATCAGCACCCAGCCCCTTGTGGGTGAGCACCCACAGCTCCCCCAGCACAGCGAGCATCCTCCTGTGCACCCCGAAAACGCACGCAGGGGGACCAGCTTGCTCTAAGCTACCCGCTGTGATGCTGTACGGGAAAAAACCCAGCAAATGCACCCGCTGCTGCCCAAATGGGTGGGGACTGAAGTGTCACCCATCCGTGGG